TGACATGATTATAATGGCTGATTTATGAGACCCATAACACCCACATGAAATGTTCCAAACTACTTTATTCAGTGCATACTGCAACAAAATGCTACATTGCTTTTTTTTGTTTCACACTCTATTGTACATGCAGTAATAGGCGATAATCAAATTACAATTTCCCTTAAAATATTTCCTCTCTCATATGAAGCATTAGGAAGTCAAGTTCATTTTAGTGAATCATTTTGTTCAGCTGATTCATATGGTTCAAAAAAAGATTAGTCAAATCATATGATTCCCGTTTCGAAAAATGTGCCAAAGCAATTGAGAAAAACTGTATTATAGGGGGAGATCTGTTAGTGTTTAATGTTGAATTATTTTGGAATTTAAAAGTATTTGGGGTTACCATTGTGCTGAAGAGTAGAGCCTGTGGTTAGGTTGATGACTGGCCTAACACCAATAAGAGTATATGTAGTGTTTTAGTACTTGAGACTGGTCTTGGTCTCAAGACCGGTCTTAAGACCATATTTGAAGGTCTTGGTCTTGTCTCAGTCTTGACCGCAATTGTGCTCTGTCTCGCGTTGGTCTCAGACTAAAAGGACTCGGGATTATATTTCAAGACAGGTCAAGACCACACCTGTAAGAATTTCAATAAATTGTCAGTGCACTTTCTGATTTATTTGTTAACATAATTACTGTGATTGAATGTGAAACTTCCTGCTTCAAATGCAATCAATTACTTATTTCTAATTTTATTTCTTTTGATACTGCTGTGCCCTGTCAGAATTTAATAGGGAATACTATCAAAAATTCCACCAAAAATGTATACAATCCCCCACCCCACCAAAAAATGTAAGATAGGATCATTGCAAAAGTACTTGTATTAGATCTTTTTTCATATAATAACATTAACATATAAAATTAACTAAGCAATATCACAAGAGCAAGAGAGCTGTTTTCACGAATATGAGCATGATTGTAAAACGTGATATTGATTTAATACAAACATGCAACAAACAAGTTAATATTAAGTGAATTACATTTTAGACTATTTTTATTTATTTATTTATTTTTATTTTATTTTTTTATTTTTTTATTTTATTATATCGAAAATAGTCCCATAGCAGAACTGTTGTGCATTCACACAGCGGTGATTCGTTACTGAATGAATCAGCTGCTTTGAACGAATCGGCTGAATAAATGATTTAGTGACTCACTCATTAAGTGATTTGTCACCACCTAGCCAAATGGCGGTTTTAGTTTTAAATTCATATTAATTTTATTTTTCCAAGTCATTTCTATATTCAAAATTGTATTTCTAAAA